AGGTGAAAAAACATTTTTGTCTTCTATCACAAAATAAAATTATGGACAATTAAGTAATTTGCACAAACTAAATTTTACAGTTGTTTTTAAAAGCATCATCTACATGTAATCCTAACAAATCACCTACAAGAACTCCGGATTTTTACAGGTGTATTGTTTTATGCAACTTCGAATTTCTATGGCACTTATTTTCAAAACTTCAAGTTCGAGTTTAAGTACGAACTCTAGGTTCATGATACCTGCAAACAAACACAATATACATATGTAGTGAACAGGAATAACTTCGGGACCTATGTGTGAAAAGAATGGGTGACGACCCAAAATATGGGGCTGTCGTGGCTTGCAGGCCCAAAATAGTGGTTGTTGGGTTGCTGGGCAACAAATGAGAAGTAAATGGGTTAACAAATTATATACCCAATTATTGGGCTAAGAAGGAAAAGTGAAAAATAAGGCATAACCCATAGGCTTGTTATTTCATGCGAGCCAAAAATAAAATAAGGCCCAAAAGAAAAAAAATAAACAAGTGGGATGGTTTTGGACCTTAGAGTTTTAGAGCAGGAACGACTTGATGGCTCGGGCAGTGCAGCTTCAGGCAGTGGCTCCCATGCATGTAGGGTTTGAAAAATCCCATTTTTTTCTTCTCTTATTCACGCATATTCAATTCACCACAATTATAAGAACAATAAATTTAAGCTGAATCTATAATTTGAAAAAAAAAAATGTAAAATTAGAGTTCATGCTTCATAGTAAATGTTTCATGCAATCATTGCTGAGAAAATATTGAAATTGAAACCATGTTTTATAGATTACTTGGATTGCTTGATCAATATTGTGAACGGCTTTGTAGTAAACAAGCATTCAGTTCCTTAGCTCAGTATCAGGAGCGTGTTTAACAATGCGTTGTGGCCTAAATTTGACTGAAGGAGAGAGAGAGGGATGGAGCTGCATAAAGAGAAAATATAGGCTTGGGAATTACTATGATGATATTTCTCCATACCTTGTGCCTTTTTTAAGAAAAATAATGGGGTTACTTGCCCTACATGTAATACAAAGTTGTGCCTTTTTGTTTTTTGTAATTAATTATTGAATTGTTTCTCACTAACATTAGTAGTTGTTGAGACTAAATACTCAAGTAATGATTTCTGTTGTGAAATTGGTGTGAATGCCCACATAAAGAAAACAACCACATATGGCTAAGGGTGAGAAGTGGAAGAATAGAAGTCAAAATTATATTGCTTAAATAATAGAAGTTTTGGTTTTTATTGTTTTGGTGTGTAAGCCTTTTACATGCATTAAAAGAGACGTATGCTTGTATCGTATGGGTAGTACATCAAGATGAAAAGCAGAAGGTAATAATCATGTTTTCCTCATTTGTTTATCTCTACGTTCATTTCTCTTATTTGATACTAGTGAAGAAAATAAACAGAATAATACATGATTCCCGTTTCACTTCAATCTCTAAAAACTCTGATAATATATATAGGTACGCATCATCTGATAATAACATGTTTCTAAATGCTCAAGGTAATCATTATCTTTAATTGGTCAAAGCTCCAAAAGACTCTAAAATAAAACTGTCGAACACTCTAATGCTTTAGCACATTCAATCACATATATTAAACATTAGCCCGTTCTATCAACTATATTTTTCTCTCAAGTGAGGCATAAATAAATAAATATAAATAAATATATATATATATATATATATATATTATATGGCCCTTTATAACCAAATATATCTCGGGATACTAAACCTAGTTAGAAACTAATTTTGTTTTTTCTTTTTTAGTTTTACATATATTAAAATAAACGGTTAAATGGGTACCTGTTTATAACCGTGGGTAATACCTATAACCGCCCATTTAAATTTCACAGGCAAACGGTTATACTCATAACCATTTATTTATCTAAAATGTTACCCATAACCATAACCTTCAAATTTAAATGGACGGATAACAGCGGTTACCTATAACCAATGAGTATTTGCCCATTCTTATATAAGTCATAGCTACCAGAGTAATCCATCACTTACTGTCACTAGATCGTAGTGTGTATTAGTGAGTTTCGCATATGCTCTTAACATCTCAATTTTGCAATCTCTCGTTCAAAAATTGGGCTTGTTTGAGATTACTTCTAGTTATATGAAATGCACTTCAAGATATCAAAAAAGCATTTTCAACCCTTCTAAAATCAAATCCCAAACAAGGCCTTATTCCCCATTACGTTTTATCTCTACTTGGCAGCGGTTGGTCTGAGACTTCCAATGCTCCCGCCGCATGGCACAACTTCTTGGCCCACCGTGCATGCAGCCCGACAGCGAAGCACACCGACTCAACAACCCCATGACGTCGTCCGTACCAGGGGTGCAACCCGTGGCCCCCACAATTTATGGGTAGTTACGGGACCCGCCTCGCTGACTTGGCGCTTGCTGGTGCATGGCCCACACTTGTCAAATCGGATCTGAGACACATAGAGAGTGAAACTCTTCTCTCAATTCCTCGCTGCGGGGTTTTGCTCTGAAAGTCTAGGCTGAGTTTTTGGTGTGGGGGTTTCCTTGCACAAAGTGTTGTGATTTTATATAATTGTCAATTCGAATTAATTAGTAAAGTGATTTTAGAGTTAGAGAGGTTAGATCTTTTTTCTAATTAGCACTACGTTATTGAGCTCTAACCTAATAATTATTCACTTATTGTCTGACTTAACACAAATTTTTCTATCTAAATTTCGCTACACGGAGAAAAAAAAAAGACGTTTGATTTAATTAACAATCTAATATTTTAAAGGTATGTTATCATTTTGTAGTAGATTTGAGTTAAGTCAATTGGTCTGACAATTCTCCAGTGCACTTATAAGGATCATGCCATTTTTCAAACTCTATTTCGTGTAAAAGAGGGAGATAAATTTTTTTGTTTTGAAATTTTGAAATCTAATTAACTTGTCAAAATCCTTTTTTTTTTTTTTTTTTTTTTTTTAATATCGATAAGATTAAATTGAATTGTAAGAGTTTGAATTAAATTTTTCTTAAAGAGGTACAAAAAAGTGTGAACAAATCTCTTAAAAAATAGTGAAATATCAAGTGGGGATTGCTTCGCTAGCATTGGGAATTACGATATGCGTTACAAGTTCCCCTACATTACAGAAATAGGGTAGTGTCAGGGCTGTAGACAAATTTTGAAAACTAAAAGATATAGAAGTTGATTATTGGTTTATAATTTAAACGTTAATAAACATACTTATTTTTATTAGTGACACATTATTTAGTTGGTAAATTATGTCTCCCTACTCACATAAATAATATTTCCATACCAATTTTCACTCCTTCCACTAAGGAAAACGAGTACATAAAACGGGTTTATTGTCACATAAAGTCTCAATTGTGCATTATTATAGATAACTATTTCTAACAAGGCATTCTTGATTTGAGACATGATGATGATGAACTCGTTTCATATAAGTTGTTATCATTATAAAGAACAAGAAAGTTTTAAATGGCATACGTGTCACTGTAACGTTACTAGTGATACAAAGATGTGTGTAAGTTTTTTTCTACGTATAGTCGTACATGGTGACGGATGAACTCATTCCACATAATTTGCTCACATTTGAAGGACGAAAATATTTACATGGCACAAGTAGCTGTCACCATAGCAATATGTGTTATGACACAAAGAGATACTAGGGAGACCATACTACATTCATGTATCACGTGATGTATACCTGTCATATCAATTAATGAGTTTAATTATCTCATTAAATGTTGATTATATGTGTCAATTACCATATCATGTGATATATGAATGTGATAAAAAATTAATCTCCCTAAATTTTTTTAGTATATATAAAAAGTGGGTTAAGCCTCATAATGGGCTAGCAATAATGTGTTTCAAATTCACCTTTGACGATAATCGGGCCTAAGACATCTTCTTTACCAATGAAGAAGAATATCACTAAACCGTAATACTAAAGACAATTTTTATACAATTAATTGTAGACACTCCTTTAAGCAACCAAAAAGCCCGGCAGTAATCCTAAATTTTATCAAAACTGCCCTCAATTTTCCTCACAATTACAAACAAAAATCCGTAAGAGTGGAAAACGGAGAAAAAGCTAAGATGAGTTACAGGTGGTGGGAGAGGAGCAAAGTCATGGAGCTGCATATTGCAAAGGCTGATGTGAGAGAGAGAGAGAGAGAGAGAGAGAGAGAGAGAGATGAAAAGAGTAACCGTAGAAAATGTGAACCAGTCTCTTTGCAACACTGTGATCTCCTCTGGTAACCACGTGGGGATTGAGAAATGCAGCCACTGCAACACCTTCAAACCCTTTTCCGCACCGATTTCTAATATAAATCCCCCCTACCCTGCTCCAAATCTCTCACATCAGTTTGCAGTTCTGTATTTGCAGAGAAAGAGAGAGAGAGAGAGTTGTTAGTTGCAGGAGCACCAGTCTGTCACAAAACCCTTGTAAGCCTGCCTTTCTCTGGTTTTTCCTTCTCTCTCTCTCTCTCTCTCCATATATTTCTTTTCCTTTTCTAAAACTTAGGTTAAAATTGAATTTTTAATGGTATTTTAGAAAAGCCATGTAATTCCTTTCTGGGGTTTGCTTCATCTCTCTCTCATTTTCTAAAATTTAGGGTTAAAGAATGAAATTATGGAAATTTCAAAAACCCATGTAACCGTTTCTGGGTTTTCTTATCTCTCTTTCTCACTTGTCATTTTCTGCTGCAGTATTAAAAATTGAGTCAAAGATTAAATTTTGGAGTTTCTCGGTTTTCTGACTTTCTCACTCTTTCTTGAGTTCTTCATTTTCTTGCTGCATGAAGTTTCACAAATTTGGTTCAAATATTACATTTTTCATGGTGTTTTCTGTGTGTATATTTCTGTCTTGTAAAAAACCAAGCAATCAAAATCTTCATGGTTTTGCCCTAACTTTTGCTTTTTCTTGCTGCAGAAGAGGCTTAAACGAATCGTTTTACAGTCCAATCTGCTCACTTCCTGTCTGCAATGGCCACCGCAAACAGAGACAACGTTTCTCAACCTAATAACGCCGCCATGCAAAAAACCACCGGCGATTCCCAGGTCCCAGACCTCAACCTGGAATTCTCTTTCGGAGGGATTTACCCCGAGAATTCCAACCAAAACCCTCTGGCTCTGTCCTCATCGGTGGCCACAATCATGAGGCCTCAGGAACCTCAAGCGGCGCCGCATAGGGCGGTTTCTCCAGTTCGTTCCGTACAGCTGCCGAGGGCAAGCTCGCTTCCCACAGAAAAAGGTCTAAGGCGGGTGATCAGGCCCAAGAACGTTCGAGCCTTGAGAAGGCTGGAAACCAAACAGAAGATAGCTCAGCGGCAGATGAGCCAGCAACCGGCTGCTTTGCCGGAGGTGGCCAGGGCTCCAGCAGCTCCAGTAGCAGCTCCAGTAGCTCCAGAAGCTCCTGAAGCTCCAGCAGCTCCAGCAGCTCCAGCAACTCCGGCAGCTCTGGCAGTAATCCTGCCGGAACTCAAAGAGTGTGCTTCCAACTGTCCCGGGGCCTTGGAGACGGTACTCTATCATTACAAGGCGGAGGGGTACTTGACTCTGTCTCGTGCAGCAAACGGTAAGCTACACATCAAACTTCAAAGCTAATAATTTGTCTATGATCTATTTTGTTTACCGTTTTAATGTTCAGCTTGAGAATAATTTGTGATTGTTTGATCTTGTCATATGATTTTTTGCAGCATGGTGCTTCTGTTGGAAGAAAATCATTTAGTTGCATGAGTAAAAATATAGTATATGTTTGTGTGTGAGGTTGCTTTTTGATATGATTTTTTGTTTTAGTTCATACATGGTGTGTATAGATAGCTAAAAAGAAAGAGGAACTGGATAACTAGTTGAAAATGAAAATATGAAACACTAATTGTCTTTGGAAGGTCACGATTGAAAGTATTAGAATTGTTGGAAGAGAAATGTTGTGCATGCAACTGATAGGATTCGGTAGATAGGACAATTGATGCGATTTGTTCATTAGCGTAAAAATTTGATACGATTCGGTCGTTAGGGTAAAACTGACACGGTTCGATAGTTAGGGTAATTGATACAATTGGGTAGTTAGGGTAACTGATACCTCGTTAGGGTAAAATTGATATGATTGGGTAGTTAGGGTAATTGATACGATTCGATCGCTAGGGTAATTGACACGATTCGGTCGTTAGGGTAATTGATACGATTTTGGTAGTTGGAATTCAAATTGCTCATGAAACATGTAACAAAATGAACTAACAAAGACAAGGCGTCCACAGGGAAAGATGATCTAGGTTCCTTTGCTTAGTCAACGATGTAAAAGATAGCAATGATTGGTGAACATGAGTTTCGAATTTGAGAAACATTCGAGTGCCGACAAAAATTAGGAAAGATTGTATCCCACAATGAATCAAATGGGAAAAGAAAACTAATTAGTTGCGTATCGACAAATATTAAGTAACAGTCTTATATCCGACAACGTATCGACAAAATAATAGAACAAAGGCGCATATGAGCCTAATTTAGAAGATGATCATGACCGTGAATGAACAAAATCAAATAAGCCATCCTTATAGTCCATTTTAGTAATTAATTCAGAAGTATTTTTTACATAGTGATGCCTAGTTACTCATAACATATATTAATACGCGCAAAGTGTAAGTGACATTCCGAAACTTGACTACTATGGAAACTTATAAGTGACACAAAATGGTTCATGATTTTAGCCGGAGTTAGTTTCCTTGACCATAAAGTAATAGTTCTAATCAACACTTTAGGAATTCTTTCCCATATACTTCCTGGTTTTTTAACTTCCGGTCACCTTCCATTCACCATTGTGATTGAACATGCTTGATAAAAAAGTTTTGTTGTTCTTCTCTCTCTTCATTTTTTGAATATTAGTTTGTAGCATCTCAAAGTTTCATGATGACAATATCTTTACATTCAAATGATCAAGAAAAATATAGTTTCCCTTCCTTCAGTTGAGGTGGGTTTGGGATATAGATTTGAGCCAGTTTGACAAAGCTCTTGATATCTTTACATTCAAACTATTTGAACTTCTGTGAATTCCATGCAGGAGCACAAAGTGTTGAGACGTTACCTTCGCAAAGGAATGTCACAGTACCATTAATGGCCACCTCTGCAACAGCGGCTACAACAAAAGAGGATGGCCCTTCACAAAGCACACCGGAAAGCCCCTCAAAGGGGGTCAAACTTGATTCTGGGGACGATATGGTTTCATTGAGAACCACCGGAGTGGGAGGAAGACAAATCAAGGGGATCCTTTACGCTAGGGATGGTGAGGTTAACATCCTGTGTGTTTGCCACGGACTTTTCCACTCGCCGGCACAATTTGTGAAGCACGCCGGTGGAGAGGAAGTAGAAAATCCCTTGCGGCACATAATTGTCTGCCCTTCCTCAGATTAGGTTAACGGAGGAGGCTCTTTTCGCATCCTTAGAAATGTAACTAATGTCAATATTTTTGGAGAACTGAATGTTAATTAAAATATAAACACCCTCATTTTGAGTAATTAGTTCTAATTTTATGATGATGTTTACCAACTCCAATGGTTGAAGTTTATGTATTTGGACATATACATGAACTCCTGCCTCTTGGCTGTATAGTTCCGCCAAAGCACTCGGACAATGGATATTGAGCATACTTCTGGTGATCACCTTGTAACTTGTTGATTTTGCAATGCCTCCAAAGTTCAGCACATCTTAGTTCGTGTGACATTGAATTGATAGATATCAAGCATATATTCTTTTGATCCCCTTGAAACTTGTTGTAGATTTTCGGTCTCCTTATAACTTGTTGGCTTTGTATTACGTCCAAAGTTCAACATGTCTTGAGTTTGATTGGATTAGGACTTTCCTTTTATAGTTGGATTCTCTTCTATTGCTTCTACTCTCCTTTCCTTCAGATCTCATTCATTTAAACTCCATTAAACAAAATCTCAAGGTTCTATTTCTTCTTGATTGAGTTTTTAATGCTGTGGATTTCTTCTTCCTTTCTTTTTGCTTTCCACTCACTCTTACAAAAGTAGGAAACATTATCATTTCAGCTGCTTTTTTATCAATCTGAATTTGCTATGAGATTTACTCTGATCAATTATTATAGTTTTTTAGTCTTTTGTGCGGACGTCTCAACAAGTTATTACTAATCTACTCATATTATAACATTTAAATTTATATCCTAGTTCATAACAAATTAACCTTGTTGTCCATAACATGTGAACAAGTAACCTCACAGGATATATAATGTTTCTCATAAATGAGTACCCTTAGTGACAGTCCATATTTCCAGGGGTTAGCAAGACTTATAGAGATATTTCAGTCTTCTCCTGACCACCATGATGTGATTCACCAGCGGGTAATTGATACAATTCGGTGGTTGGTACATTCGATTTTGGTCATGAAATGTGTAACAATATGACAAAACATGTGGGGAAGCAATGACAAGAGAATTTGCTGCGTCAACGAGGAAAGATGATCTAGGTTCCTTTGTTTCGTCAACGATGTTAAAGATGGCGATGATTGGTGAACGCGAGTATCGAATCTAATAAACATTCACATGCCGACAAAATTAGAAAAGAAATTGTATTCGATAATTTATCAACGGATAAAAGAAAACTAATTAATTGCGTATCGACAAATATTAAAAAATAAATAAATAAATAAAAAAAGTCTATACCTGACAACGCATTGACAAAATAAGAGAATCGGCGCATACGAGCCTAATATATAGGAGCTGATTCTGATTGCACACGGACAAAATCAAAATTTTCATCTCTATAGTTACGTGTAACGTCTAAGTGAGTGATCTTCCTAACCTTTACTGTTCCATGGAACTTGCAAATGACATGAAATGGTTCATGACCGTCCTTCGTTCTTGTGACTAGAAATGGTTTGTGGCAGGCTTGTCTTAGATATCTCATGATTTCTCTTAACAAAAGCAGTATGCATGATGCATCATTCTGCCTTTCCACAACATCTGTTAATTTGTTTTTGGAAAGTTAATTCCAAGTATTCTAAAAAGTACTCGTTCTACGTAAAAGTAAAAACTGCTTCTGCATAATTTTTACACAGTAGAGTAGCAACATGAACAATAACATTGGAGACAACTTGATCGTTTCCGATTGAAACACCTGCAGTTTAATTCCATGCAGGAGCAGAATACGTTGATACTTTGCCCTCCCAAAGGGAGCCAGTGGCCAATACAAAACATATCAGCCCTTCGAAGGGGTTAAAGTTTCCGGTAATTAAAAGATAAACACCCTCATTTGAGCAACTAGCTCTCATTTTATGACGATGTTTACACCATATTATCATATATATAGTCCTTTATGCAACCGTGGATGTTAAAGCTTTTGTATTTGGACATAAGCACATCAAGCAAACTTTCAATTTCCTCATAACTTGTTAGTTTTGTGTTACCTTCAAAGTTTAGCAGGTCTTGGATTCATCTGGCATCAAATTGATGGATACCAAGCAAGTGTCTCGCCGCCGTATAACTTGTTGGCTTTACATTACATCGGAAGTTTAGCAGGTCTTGGATTCGACTATCATCGAACTGATAGCTCAGGAGACGTATTTTATCCTTGTAACCTGATGGCTTTGTGTTGCATCCAAATTGTTCATCATGTCTTGGTTATGGTGGACACCAAACCCATAGATATCAAGAAGACTTGTGATTACCTTGTAACTTGCTGGTTTTGTATTTAATCCGAAGATGTCTTGTTCGAGGACTTTCATTTTTGTAGTTGGATTCTCTTCATCTTCTTTGCATTTTCTATTTTTTTTTTGGGCTCTCTTTCATTTAAACTCCTTTAAACAAAAGCTCATGGTTTTGTTTCTTCTTGATTGAGTTTTTATATTAGGAACATAGAACATGGTATTAAAGAAAAAATAAACACACTAATCACACCAGATAACAATGTCAAAATATGAGAATCGCCCGTCTCAAACAAAAGTACTTGCGTGAAATAAGATGGTATTCCAAATTTACCACTCGTTTACAGTTTATTGTATGAGTTAACTTTCTCACATAGACATCGTATAATTATTAACGCGATGGTCTAACATTCTGACGTCACAAAACAATCATACACATCATGTCCAAAAGTCAAAATAAATAACAAAAAAAATGATATATTTGAAACACCGCAATCTTACCGTCTCCGTGTCAGGTAAATCCTTCTTCGTCTCACATGGTTAATGTCCAAAAGGAAGTATATATATCAAGCCGCACACGACAAATCACCATTCAGTCAACGCCAACTGGCCGCTGAGTTTAGAAATTAGAATCCCACGGCAATCCAATCATCCAAACTTCTAAATAAACTCCCCAATCCCACCCTCCACGTGTCAGATCTTCCTATCCAACACATCATCAAACGACACGTATCATTATACAAATTATAAAATATATGTGTTAAAAAATTAATAATTTGAAAAATAAAATTGAGGACGAAAATTTTCTCATCTGTCACTTCCAAATCAGTTTCCAAGTGAAATCATATCTGTTGGAGGGAATATTCTTGGTTTACAGCTAGATCCATGGCGTCGAGTTCTCCGAGCCCTCGTTGTTATAAAACTCCCGGCCGCATACGATTCGACCACCTTAGAAAAGAAGCTCTGCGGCTTGTTTGTTCATTTGGTTCTTCAAGAAGCCCAGGAAACGCAGTAGGTAGAGAGAAGCTTGGAAAACGCCATGGCTTCCTCCCACTGTAAGCTGCCAACTTTGCTCCAACGATTAAATTTTTGCTTCCAATTTTAGCATCTTTTTTTTTCTGGTGATGGTGTGACTTTTTCAATGTTTGTATGTGCATGATTACAGGTTTTTTTTTTTTTTTTTTTTTTTTTTTTTCAATTTTGTTGGAATTAAATGCAAACTTGGCACCAAAGAATGATTTTTTTGCACTTTTTTAGAGTTGTAATTGTTGATCGTGTGAGTTTTGCAATATTTGTGTGTGAATGATTACTGGGTTTTATTTTTTCTCTTCAGTTTTGTAGAATTAAGCTACAAACTTGGCTCCAAAGATTGAATCTTTGCTCTTCTTTTAGAGTTTTAATTGTTGATCGTGTGAGTTTTCAATGGTTTTATGTGAATGATTACTGGGTTTTGTTCAATTTCGTAAAAAAAAGTTTGATTCTTTATTTTTTAGGTGGTGGCTGATACGCTTCTGATATTGGTTTTCTCTTCCGTCTTGTTTGCCCCTGGCAATTGCTTGATTGGGCCTGTTTGATTCGTTTGAAGCTTGCATTTGATTTGTTTGAATTCAATTTGGTGGTTTTAGAGGATATTTTCTACCTTTGCATGTTGGGGAGTTCGAATTTTAGTTGGAAATTTGCCTTGAGTGTTTCCAAATTTAGCAAAATTATGATGTAGGTATAATGCCAGGTTGTTATGTGAATGCTATTTATAAGTAGGCGTTTTTAGTTGAATGAGGCGATTGGTTTCGAAATGTGGCAAGGCACCGAGTAGTTTCTATGGCAAATGGCGATACATTGATTTCGGTTTGTATGTATGTATAGTGTTAAGACTCCGTATATGTTTATTCTCCAAATCATGAAAAATAAAAATACTGTGAGATTTATATTAATTTTGGTGTTTTTGCATTTGACAGGCTTTGCTCCTTTTGTGTTCCTACTGCTCCTTGTTGGGTGTTCTGGAAGGCCATTCTATCCACTTCCCAGTAAAGTAGCTGATGCTACCAATAGACAGCCTCTACAAACTTATCGTCCATACAACGTTGCTCATCGAGGTTCAAATGGAGAGATTCCCGAAGAAACTGCTGCTGCATACATGGTAATACTTCATTCACTTGATGAAAAGCTGTTCTCAGTATATGAATACTAAAACATTCATTTTTGCAGAGAGCTATTGAAGAGGGTGCAGACTTCATTGAAACGGATATCCTATCTTCTAAAGACGGTGTTCTTATATGCTTTCATGATGTGACCCTTGATGACACAACTGATGTTGCTGAACACAAGGAATTTGCAGATCGTAAAAGAACCTATGAAGTTCAAGGGGTCAACACTACTGGTTTTTTTACTGGTATGTGAAGCCCCTTTGCGTGCTACACTTTTTAAATCATTAGTCTAACTGATTGTTGATCACATTGGGTCGATGGGTATTTTTGTACATCCCTCTTTTAACTGACGATTGACCATACTTGAGCACCCAACTGATAAGTTTTGTTAGCTTACCACTACTTCCAAAATCTGATACCTGTATCTTTCTTTTTGTGATATGTTTATTGCCAACTGCAAAATTAAAAGTTACTTTAACGGTATACAGTTGATTTTACACTAAAAGAACTGAAGTCATTACGAGTGAAGCAGAGATACCCATTTCGGGATCAACAATATAATGGTGAGTTCCTATCTCTGGTACATAACTCTGAATTTTAGCATGCATC